GCACTTACAAAGGGAAACCTCAAAGCGAAAATATACAAATTGGTATATGCCCCTACATTTTTATTACATTATCAGGAATTATTTCAATATTGTCTCTCTTCACATTGTCCAAGATACTACATGTATGTCCCTTTTACAGCTTACATCAAATTCTGTAGAACTATGCAGGAATTATGATATGGCATGTATGTCCTATCTGTGAAATTCTAACATTAGCAGTTTCCTAGTATTCAAATTATACAAGGAAACCCGCTTACCTTCTAGACTTCACAGTCAGACACTATTGATTGACCAGTGTGATTGACTGACTGACATCTTTTTATTCTTTGGTAATAAGATACATGAAATGAGCTGTAACAGATATATACACTGTACGAGCATTTGTCTAAATCAATAACCCACTATACTTGTATTGGTCAAAATTAAACTGATTGAATCTTTGTGCAGCACATAACGTACGACCATTCGGTAAGAGGGTCTGAAAATCAGACTAATACTCAGGTGATTGCAATCACTTAAGTCGATTCGACAACTAATGGTCGTTATTTTCCAACTAAAAGCCATTTTCAAGCCTTTTCGTTTTGAGAGAAATTCTAAATTATAGTATTGTCTTTCAAATGCCGTCGGAATTTAACCTGCAAAGGGGACATAGTTTTTACAACTTTAAGCAGTGGCGGATCCAGGGGGCCGAAACGGCCGCCCCCCCCCCCCCCCCCCCCCCCCCCACCACATTGGCAGCGAAAAAATAAAAAGAGGAAGAAAAGAAGAGAGAAAAAGAAAGGAGAAGAAAAAAGGAGAAGAGAAAAGAAAGGAGAAGAGAAAAGAAAGAAGAAGAGAAAAGAAAAGAAAGAGAAAAAAGAAGAGAAAAAAAGAAGAGAAAAGAAAGAGACTGACAGAGAGAAAAGAAGGGGAAAAGAAGAGAGAAGCCGGGATAGAAAGGGAGAAAATTACAAGGAAATGGCATTAAGTCACCTAAACGACAAATGACTGTATTATAATTGTTAGGTTGTGCAAAACTGAGTCGGAATTCAGCCTATTAAAACAAATACTAAGCATGCTCGTTCATGAAAGGTAATACAAAGTTTTGGTATGGGGTAATGAATTTGGTTCAAATGAAAATAATTACAGAAAGCATATGCGATTTTACAATATTCAGTGATCGTTGTCGCAATTGAAATCGAGTCTAAAGTGATGAAATTGTAAATAATAAACTATTTGTGTTGTATAGCTCCCTCTCAATACTGATATTAATTTAGCTTTAAAACAATGTTTCTTGACTATAATCGACCGATTTGCCATTCCCGTTTGAAAATTATATATCAGAACTGCATATTCTGAGATTTTCATGGTCGCAGCTACCATGGAATGGCATTATCAGGCGCTATTTGAAATATTTGAAATTTACCGGGAGCACCGGTAAATTTGGATTATGCAATTTGCTCGAAAGCAGAAGTGTTTTTTGGGGGGGGGAGGGGGGGGGGGCTATATTTTCTGGTGCGTATAATATATCTACAGGTGCATCCAAATATATCAAAATTTCAAAAGAATTACTATCCATCCAATTTTCAAAATTTCCCAAAACTTTGCATTACCTTTAAGCCATAGTGCCTGAAAAGGGTAGTGTAAAAACACTTCTCAGTGAAAAGGCCGGCCCCTCCAAAGAGTGGTAGAATAGTAATCAGGAAATTTGGGGATCTTTCCCGAAGGATTGAGAGCCGTTATTGAAGAGGGGGCCGGCCATAAAATGGCAGGGGTTTTAGCTTTTTTTAGGGGGGTTTACACACATAAAAAATACCAAAGGGGGGGGTTTGAACCCCCAACCCCCCCCCCCCCCTGCGTACGCCCCTGATACAGTAAATATATCATACCGAAAAAATTTGCAGGGGGTGCTATGCCCCCCCTGGAAAAATTCCGGGGGTGCTGCAGCACCCCCAGCACCCCCGCTTCCCAGGGCCATGATAGAAGGAGGGGGAAGTGAACTGCAAGCGTATATTGGGGCTGATTATCCTATCATCAGTGCAATCTGGGTCGAAATTCAGCATAATATATTTATCAAAAAAAGTTTATTTAAAAGCCTCATGATAAAGCCGCGGCCCCTGCAAAGAGGAGCAGAATTGTAATCGGGAGATTGGGGGTCATTCCAGAAGACTTGGGAGACGCTATTGAAAAGAGGGGGCCGGTCGCATAAAATCCCGAGCCGCGGATTCGAAGTTAAACATTGAAGCCCCTGCGCTACAAAGGACATCCCTCTTCGGTGAGAAATTTGAAAAGGGCACATTATTTTGGAAGTTTTTAGAAGCTATATACTCAACAGTCAAATTTTTAATTAATGGTAGAGGGGCCGCTTAAAAACTCTTATTTTGCCCTTCATTTGGCATCAGCTCGTGCCAACTCGCTTGTGCTTGTATTTGAAAAATGCTGATAGTAATCATGGACAGGGGCGGCGATCCTGGGGCCGACTTGGGGGACACTTCCCCCTGGAAATTTAGAAATATGGCTAGAAGGAAATATTGCGGAGAGAATGTACACATTGGTTTTGGCGTTTTCTAGAATGCATTATTCAGCATTCAAAATGGCAAAATCTCGCTTGGTCGCTATGCTCCCTCGCCGAATAACACACAACTATGATACTCTTACAACCCCTGTCCAGAATTGCCTAGTTTGTTTCAGTAAAAGCAATACAAACGGACGCTGAAAAGGATAAAGTATTTGGTTTAAGGTCTAATACACGTCTGCTACATGCAGGCGCGTACGCAGGATTTTTTCAAGGGGGGGGGGGGTTTAACATTTATAAATCGGGCCGAAAATTTCGCAACGACTCAGCCAGCCGCTGAATAAGCGGGGGGGGGGGGGGGGGGGGGGGGGGTAAGAGGACACATTTTTTTTTTTGGTCTCGAAATTTGAAAATTTGACATTTTGCTCCGTTGGGGGGGGGGGGGTAAGTTCAGCTTTTTTAGGTCAACCATGGGAATATTTTGTTTTTTTTTAATTTTTTTTTAAATTAAAAAAAAAAAAAACAAAAAACAAAAAACAAAAATCCAAAAGGGGGGGGGGGAGGGGGGGGGGTTTAGAGAAATTTAGGGGGGGTTTACATACAAAAAATTACCAAAGGGGGGGGGGGGTTAACCCCCCAAACCCCAAACTTATATTTGTATTGTATTCATATGGAATATGCAGAAATATGAGCACGTTGGTATTTTGTAAGAGAACGAGAGTGATAAAGTCATTCATGAATATAAATATGTAAAGATATAAAGCAAGTGTTTAATATATTATGACAGGCATGAAACACAAATATAGTACCTCATGGGTTTCATTGTTCTGGATTTCCAAATAAATGGAAGTTTTCATTGCAATCATGGATGTAGCGTGAACTGTTTTTATATTTACTCCATAAGGATTAAAATTTCATTTCATAACACTTACAGTTAATGCGGGATGGGGTTGTAGCCTCTCTTTCCCCGAAAATATAAAAAATTACCAATATTCGGGCAGCGAGCAAGAGGCTTCAGCCCCCCCCCCCCCCCCGCCCCCCTTTACGCGCGAGCATAACTTAAACACGGGGAATGTTGATATCGGATATTTAAAAAAAAAACGTGACGTGAGCCTGCACCCTTTCCAAAATTGTGCCCACTTGTAGGCACCTACCGGTATATACGGTACTTCTGATATGACCTTGTCAGTATTGGTATGTTGAGTTGAAATAACGGTCTGCGCGATTTTCAAATTTCCGCCCCACCCCCCTTATTGGAAAACCCTGGATCCGCGCCTGCTTTAAGCAACATACTTTGAATTTCGGTGTGATGGTCTTAATATTCATTTGCGACAATGCGAGGGAACGAAGCGAGGGAGCAAAAATAATTAGATTTGTGCATTCGCAGTGCAAAAAAATACATCTGATAAAGACGGGAAGAAAACAAAATCCAGGTGTAGTCTTAAGCACAATCTAATCATGAAAGACCTTAAACAAGAAACATACATACATTAAATATAAATGCGAATGAGCGTAGCGAGCGAGCTTTGGGGGAACTAAATAAAAAGTTACTCTTGACTTGGTTTTAAATTAGGGGCACATTTTACTGTGAAAAGAAAAGGGACACTTATCCAGAGAGAAAAAGGACACTTATTAGAAGAAGAAAAAAGGAGCTCGTGTCAAAGTAAAAATGGTTATTATCAGAGGTGGAAATGGGGCACTTATAACAAAGGAAAAGGGGCACCTATTAGATAGTAGGAGCATTTATTAGAGGTAAAAAGGGCAATTATGAGAAGGAAAAGGGGCTTATATTAAAAAGAAAAAGTGGCAATTATCAAAATGAAAGATGGCACATGTCGAAATAAAAGGGGTATTTGTCAGATAAAAGGGGTACTTCAGTTTCAATAGTTAAAGGGGACATGTCTCGATTTAAATAGGAGCACTCATCACGGATGAAAAGAGGGAATTGTCAAAATAAAAGGGGCACCTCTCATATTTGAATAGGGGTGATTATCACTGGTGAAGGGGCACTTGTCAGATGTGGTAAGGGGCACTTATACGGTGGAACGGGTAGCTATTAGAAATAAGAATGGGAATTTTATCTATATAAAAAGAGGCACTTTTGGGTAATTGACAAAGTGGTGGCACTGTGCTGCCCTCTAGGCGAGCCGCTATTGTCCGGTGGCCAGGTGGTTTTATAGGCCTATGCCACGGGCGTTTGAGAGGGACACATTTCGATCTCGAATATCCGACCCCCCCCCCCCCCCCCCCCCCCAACAAAAAAGGGGGTTGTCGCGTATGATAAGTCTTTGATCCCCGGCCTATCCCAGCAAACACACAAGACACTGCAAAACATCCTTGAGCGTTTATTTATGTCCCAAGACTGCTTTTCTTCCCTGTTCTTCTGTTAATTTTCGCATTTCCCCCTTTTTAAATTTCCATTTCTTTTTGTTGGGTGAGAGGTACCATAAATACGCTGTCGCGCGCCCTTGCCAAGTGTTACAAGCTCACTAGCTTCAGTTGATATACAATGCAAAAGACGTGTTGTTGCAAGCTGTAATTGGCAGACCATCTATCTCATCAATAATATCTAAATAGCTACGTACGTACGTACAGCAGCAGTTTAGAAAAAATTGATGACCATTCACTTTGCTTCGACTTCTCTTCACTTCAGGCTTCAGCTGTATTTTGTGAATTGGTAAGTCACTGTGGACTGAATATTAGTGTGTTTGGATGGTGTTAAATTACTAATCTAAATGTAAATGTCTTTTAAATGTCAGTTTTTAATGTTCAAATTGCAACGTCAGTGTCCGACTCCGAGACTGACCGTTTCACAATTTCAGTGTTTGTGTTTCAGTGTTTGTGTTCACTGACTGAATTCGGCCGAATTCAATTAGTGACTGCCACCCACTCATGCAATGCAAAGTACGTACGGTAGGCCTAGATAAGTAGATAATTTTAGGTTATTTTGGCAACATCGAATTCTGTAACTGTCATCCTTTAACCTTTGACAATGACATAAAAAGATCTAGAGTCTAGTAGAGTCAGCGCTTGTTCAGAAACCTATCCCAAATTTGATCCGTAACTCCGACATAGTCGTAGAGATAGAGTCTAGATCTAACTTAAGTTAATCTAGGGTAGCGCGCCCAGCATTCGGTCAATTCCCAGTATTCGGTCAGACAGCCGTTTCGACAGCTGTAACAATTTTAAAAATAATTTGCGAGCCACGAAACTTGCACAAATCAAGCAGCTGAACAAATTTTCTTAACTCTCAAAATTAAATCAGATTTAGGGCCCCGGAAAGATCTCCAACTTAGCTCAAAATTGGTCAGTGTCGCAAGACTTTCTGCACTTCTGCGTTCTCTTAGCACATGCGCTAACATGCATAGCCATATGTAGAAGTCTATTGCGAAACAACTGCGTGTGCTGTCGCAATGAATTTAGTATGTGTGTGAAGAGAATCACTTCCGTGTTCACTTCATCGCAGTGAATTTGCAAATGACGCACTTGCCGATGTGCGAGAGGTATTTATACGATACCCTTGCCATGCGGTATCGCTCGGCCAGTATTCGGTCAACGCATTGACATTCAGTGCTTTATCGCGCAATTGTGTGAAAATAGTGCGCAAATACGCTTCGCTCTTTGGCAACGGAGATACCACGCACAAATCGCGTGACCGAATTCTAATCGGCGCGACCGAATTCTGGGCAGAAAAATGCTCCGTCTTTTTTCGGAAGTATTTTGCTTATCGTTATTCTATATTTTAAGTGACTATAAAATCCTGTTAGAGGAATAAATTTCTTTTCTTTTGATGGGTAGATTGCCAAATAAAAGAGGTAAGAATTCAAAATATTAGTGATTTCCCCTTAAGTGACCGAATACTGGGCACTCTACCCTAGTCCTTAGATAGTAGACCTAGACTACTAGATTTAGATCTAGATCTATCATCTAGATCTATCATCTAGATCTACTAAGACATCCCCAAAATAGTAAGATCGCCAAACATCAGACACTTAAAGGGATCGTTTAACAATGTTAAAGAGAAGGTTGAGTTCTGGGAAGAGGTGAAAAATAATTTGTGAGCATTACTCATTCTTATTATGCAAGTGTGGAAGAACATCAGTTAAGACATGTTCCCTGAAAAGCATGGCTCTTCAAATGCCTTCATATTCGAATTATGTCATGTAAATCGTAAAACTCGGGGGGTAGGTTTTTTACGCCACGTGTTCGTGTAGTCCCATATACATCTTTCTATGTACAGTGTTTGTAACTTTACCAAGACTTGGCCAATTTCTTATCATTTTGATGATTCCAGAGCCTTGCAATACACACAAATTCTTATATGCTAGATGATCAACCTTTTCTGGTCGATTCCACACCATTTCTTTCACAATGCAATCGCATGACCAGAACTCAACTTCATCTTTAAATCTGAGATACACGGCCCTACGTGTTATCAGTGTCTGTGATATGGTGGAATATTGAAGCCCTAAAAAAATTGCGCTTCAAAATGATCAAGAAGTGCCTCAAAAAAGTAAAAATCTTTGAGTGACCGGTTTTACCATACTCGTTTTCCCCAATAGACTGTAGTGTTATGAAACCGTCAGGCGAACGGTTTTCAAAATTTGTAATTCCAATCATAAATAGATCTAGACCTATCTTGATAATCAGACAGGCGATCGGCTTGTAAAAGTCATGGGGTTCCTGACTGACCTAAAGCTTTATAATTATCATTGCATCATGAGCTAAATCCAGAATTTTGTTTCAGAATCTGAGACAAAGTTACCGGATCCCTTTAAAACAAAACGGGGGGGGGGGGGAATTAAATTCTTTTTTAATTATTGAAAGACCAAATAGATCTAGGTCTAGTAGACTAGACCCTAGGCCTATACTATTATTGTGCAAATACTGTTTATGTAGATCTAGATCTAGAGTCTAGGCCTATGTCATGTAAAAGAAAATTAGTAAAGGAAATTGTTACCCGTCGAACCTTTTTTCATTCCAAGCTTTGGAGGTTTGGAAACCGGATCAAAAATCGTAAGACGGGGGTAAGTTTGACTGCGTTGATTTCATGAAAAAAAGTATTATCAAATGACACTCAATGTTGCCTGTCTGAAGCTTGGAAAAGCACAATCTTCCGGTAGGGGAGTCGGCGGCTGGGGAGTCTATCTATACCCCTAGCTCCGAGGTAACGGCCGCCATTAGAAAATTGTACACACAAATCTTCTGATTTCCTGATTTGGCTTAGACCAGAGTAGAAATGGGCTAGATTTAGAATCTTGCCTGTTTTCGACCAAGTGTCTTCCAGAGCTGACAACTAGTACGGATTTCCCGCAATAGGTACGGAAATCATTACGGCAGTACGGAATGTTGTCTAAAAATTACGGATTTTTTTTGGGGGGGTGGTGGTGGTGGTGGCGTAAATATGATTTATCGTAGCGAGTGCTGTGCAGTATGGTGGCCATCCAACACTTGCTGAGAAAGAAGGAAAAGTATCAAGTATTCTCTTAATAGAAGCCAATTTTCATGGAAAACTGATGTGTTGTGATGACCTGAAAATCAATATTTAGCAACTTTGTGAGAGTAAAATCACCACAAATTCAGATAATGATGCGCGCATGCATCCACCCAGTTTTGGAGTGCTGTTTTTATAGGTTCATAGCGCTGCATAGGAAATTACTGATTTATTCCTCAAATTACTGATTTTGAGCCTTGTGATTAGTGATTTTCTGTTCTGGAGGTTGGCAGCTCTGGTCTTCCAATTCTAATTTCCAACGTCAGTTGGAATCGCTCCACTTTGGCATGAGACTTTATTGCCAACATTACATCTTTAATTGCAGAATTGAGAGGAGCTTGTGAGTGTGTCTTTGAGTTTGTCTATGATGTTTATTTAAAACGTTCATCATCCATCCATCTCAATCCACTTCCGCCACAGTTTCTTCCAGACCCCACCTTTCCATGACCTCTCTTGTGTTCTTTATATCGGACATTTTTACAAGTGATGTAAAATCTAAATTGTTGTTTTGTTTCAGTGCAGGGATTCGAATTGTAATAACAATGGATAGCACAGGTGTATTCGGAGTGTACTTTCACAATAGATGTACATGTTACAGAGATGCCAACCAGTATGATTAAATTGTATTTAGTACGATAATAAGAGTGAAATACGATAATACGATATCACCTCTTAAAATACAATTTTTCAACAACAACAACAACAAAACAACAAAAATCTTCTTTTTTAAAAATAAATTTAAAAACCCATAAAAACAGCGGAATCGCATAGAAACCCAAGTAAACCCGTGCAACCCCAAAAAAAACTTTGCTGTACAATTTTCTCATTAAATTTTAATGAAAGAGCAAACATTTTACTTGACCGTACTTACCAGTAAAACATTTTTCTGAAATTTTACTGGCCCGGGGCCGACGGGCCAGTTGTTGTGTCAAGTTTTCGTGAAAATCTGATTTTTCTCTCCAAAATCTGATTTTTTTTTTAGGATACTCAGTCTGTTTTTTTGTGTCAAGAGGTTGGCAACTTGGCATCTCTGATGTTATGTAGTGGTTAAACAATGACAGTTATGCAACATTTATGAATTACCGGTATATTTTGTAACTAGTGACCATTAAAGGGCAGGTCCAAGCTATTGTCCCCTCTGGGTGTCAAATTTCATCTTTATATATATTTAACAAACTATACCTCATTTTAAAGCTGAAACTATGAATTTTATGAATCTGATAAAAAAAATTAAAAATCATCAAAATACGAAGAGTGCCAAGGTCACGAACTTCGATTTGTATTAATTAGCGTGACGTACGGGACATTACATTTTTATTTTTGTATCTCATTTGAATTATTTGTTTAAAATTAAATATCTCAGGACATGAAGACCATCATGCTAGAAAATAGGAAAAAAATATAAAAACTTTCAAAATTAATTAATTATGCAAATGAGGTAGGTTCCAAAGTGTGATGTCCCGTACGTCACAATTTGATCATAATTTGTTTAATTTTAATTATGAAAATAATTTTTTTTTTTAAAGATATTCTAGGAAGTTCTAATTTAGATGAATACCTAACAAAAAATAGGTTTAACAAAAATTTCAAAAATTTTGTGTTGATTACATAATCAAATTAAGAAATGTGACGTATGGGACAAGTGTGTGACGTACGGGACAACCCCATATAAAACCAATGCGAAATGTGAAAAAGGAAATGACCAAAAGGAGTATATATACTGTGTTAGGAAACTTGTTGTATACAGGGATATATGAACATTCCAACTGGGTCCCTTCTAGGAATTTACTTGTTTGTACTTTTGTTGTTGTTTTATGTAATTGTTGTTAATGTAATTAGTCTTCAAGCCAAACCCCTGGTATTAGGGACTTTTAAATTCGCACGAAGACAATAGGTCTATGCTACGATCGACGTCCTTTTAAAGCACTGACTTGAATGGAAGTACCACGTATCAGTCCACGCAAATCTAAAAGTCCCTATTTTGCCAGTTGATGTCCCCAACATTGGCAGGATGCTAAATATGTAAATCATAATAGTGTACTAGTTCCTGGAATGAGTCTAATAAAATTATATGGTAGTGGATGCACCAGAAGCTGGCTTTTACAACTCATAGATGCTGCAGGTAAGAATAGCACATGTATGCAGGGCTTGTAATAAATGGATTCCGCATCTAAGAGGGCCCT